AGACCAGCCTGGTCTACAGAGAGAGTTCCAGAACAGCCAGGGCCCCACAGAGAAGCCCTGTCTCAAAAAACAAAAACAAACAAACAAAAACTGACCAGTGCAGGGAAGGAGGATGGGCCTCAGCGGTATCTCCAGCCACCAACCTCAGTACGCTTAAATAACACGCTAGGCCTTACAAAACACACACCAGCCTTTAGCACAGATATTCATTATTAGAGAACCCTAAGAAAAAAGGGCCAACTAAATGGATATAGCATAGAATCCCACCATCCACTGCTCTAAAAAGGTCTCACTGAAAATGTAGGGAAATTCTCAGACCCTGAGCAATGAGTAATTCATTCTTTTTTGTCTTTTTATTTTGCAGACAAGGTCTCAGTGTGGTCCAGGCTGGTCTTGAACGCATCATCCCCGTGGAGTGAGTGGCAGCGACATCACTCACAGAACTGAATAAAAAAAAAATTCCACAGAGAACTTTCAAAGGGAAGGAGATTAACCGCATGTCCTAAAAATTCAGACAGACTTCACAGAAACACAGAGGCACCAGAAACTCACGTGTAATCTCGCTTTTAAACTGAAGCAGCGGATGCTGACTTCTAGGGCCTCTTCCCAAGACCTGCAGGCTAGAGAGGCGGAGCAAATTCAAGACACTCCGGGCCTTCTTTCTTCTTTATTTTTTTTCTTCCAGATGGGGTCTCTTGCAACCCAAAAGTCAGGCGGCAGAGGATGACCTTGACTGTCTTATCCTCCGGCCTCCACCTCCCAAATCCTGAGATCACAGGCGTGTGCCACGATGCCCTCCGGCTTCACCCCCACGCTTTTCTGAACTTGGTCAGAGCCCCCTTCCACGCTTCAGGGATCCCAACTGACCCCACCCGCATGCACCACAGCAAGCGACAGGGAGACTGGAGGCAGTTCACGGTCATTCGTGTCCGAGTCTGCTGCTTCGGCTAGCCTGTTCAGCCGACACCGGAGTTACCGCCACCCCTGGGGCTGCCCGGCCTCTAGTTTCGAGATGTCCCGCGGCTCTCAGCTCCCCGAGGCCTGCCTGGCATCTGAGGTTCCCACGTTCTGCACTGGGTGTCTCCACGGTGTAAACCGACCCCGACTTCCCTCTCGGTCCCCGTCAGCAGCCAGGCCGGGTTTAGCAGCAGAGCGGCAGCACCATAGACTGCACCCACGGATGGCCACCCGAGTGCCCGGGGTCCGCAGAGCGGGCCCCTCCCTCGAGTCCCCTGGAAAAGCGTAGGCCGTGAGAGCCGGGCTCACCCGACTGACGGACTCAGCGCCCGGACGGTGGGTCCCGAGTGCGCCGACACGACAGCGGTCGGTGACCCTGACCTCGGCGCTGCAGCAGTGGCACCGACTTGCTACTGAGAGCTTTGGGGGTTCTGATCTCAAACTAGAAAGTCCCGGCTCCGCCTGCTTCTTTCACGGGGTTCTGGACTCCCCGCCCTACCGAGACTGCGAGCCCCGCCCCGCCCCCAGCTCCTGGAACGGGGGGGGGGGGGGGGGGGGGGCTGTGCGACAGTGCGCAGGCGCACAAGGGACCCGCGGCGTGAGAAAGGCTTTGGTGACATCCTGCACCCACAGTGGCAGAGGGAGTTTGGCGCCGAAATGACTTAGACCCGTGACTCTGACGTTGTACAAACTGACACCCTAATGTTTCGAGGTCCAGCGTGGAGCGCTTGCTGAACAACCGCACTTAAACAGACATCTGCTTACTAGTTTTGGCATCTGTTGCTTGTTTTTGTTTTGTTGTTGTTGTTTTGTTTTTTGACAGTCTCCCGTGATGGCCCTGAATCTCTCCAGGGAGGCCAAGATGACCTTGAACTTACTGCAAGCTTTTAAGGCACACACCACCACACCCCTACCTGAACCACTCTTAGGGCTGTGCTAAGATTGTCTATCAGTTTTTCTTCCTTTCTTTAAAAATATCCGAGACAAAGTCTCTCTATGCAGCCGTAGCAAGCATAGAATCTGTAGTCTAGGCTGGCCTGAAACTCAAAAATCCACCCGCCTTTGTTTCCTTTGTACTGGAATTAAAGGCACGCACTGCCACTTTGGGCACGGTTTTCTTTTCATGAAGGAGACTAGGGGTTTAAAGGCTGAAGCAGCGGTCGGTCGTGGCGCACTCCTTTAATCCTAGCCTTCGGGAGTCAGTATATATATGTATATGTGTATATGTATATATAGAGACGCAAAAGGACAGCATGCCTGAAACCATGGAACATGGGTACAGGCTTCTCTAAAAGACTTGTTTTCATGATATTCTTACGTTCTTATGTAAGGAAGAGCTTTTTTTTTTTTTCATCCATTTCTTCAGTCTAAATAGCATGTATTCTTGGGTTCTTAACGTGTTGTAATCGATTTCTTTTGTTTTGATGCCTGTGTTTTCTAAGATTTGACTTGTGGGAGCCCCTGAAGCTGAACACTGGTGGGTTTTTCATTCGAACTACAGCCCAGGCTGACCCGGAACTCGTGATTTCTTTCATTCTGCCTCCCTTCAGTTGGCATTACAGGTGAAAGACACCACACTGGGCTGTTGGATACTTTGTCTTCTGATCGGTGGCTAATACGTTTGTTTGTTTGTTTTTAACATTGTGGTAATCATTAAATACTTCAGGGAGTTGGGGAGGTGGCTCAGTGCTTAAGAGCCGGCTGCTCTTCCAAAGGACCCAGGTTCAGTTCCGGGCACCCATATAGTGGCTCACAAATGTAACTCTCCCAGGAGATCCAATGTACCCTTCTGGTTTCCATGGGAACTAGGCAATGCATGTTATGCACATACATACATGCAAGCAAAACACTCATATACATAAAATATAAAAACTAAAACATGTTTCAGTTTCATCATGTACTTTCAATGTCCTAGCCAAAAGTATGGAAAACAAGACAATTTAATTATATTCATTCACCTTGGGTATGGTGTGTCTATGTATGTGTTTGAGTCCATGTAGGTCAAACAACCTGAGAAAGTTTAAAGCAGGAGGATTGTTGAGGTGAGCCTGGACTACTGAATTCCAACCTGGGCTACATGCAAAGCAAGACCCCGTCTGAAAGTAGTGGGCTAGGCCAATGGTAGAATGCTTGGGTAGCAGGTGAAAGGCTAGATGGTCCAATCCCCAGCATTGGGAAAGCAGGAAAAAGACATCCATGCTAAGGATGATGCAGCTTCATAATTTAAAAAACTCCAGAGGCGGAGGTGGAGGCAGGAGAATTACAAGTTCAAGGCCTGCATTGGCAGCTTTGTGCAACTGTCTCAAGCAGCAAAAAACCTACAAATGTAAAATTGTTACAGACAATACATAGCCAGTGTTCAAATTGAACTGCTGACAAGATCTGCATATTCGCTACTGGTCTCTCATGACATTAAACTGACACAGGGTCTTTGTCCTGGCTGGCCTCTGCCTCCACTGATGATCCTACTCAGAGTCCTAAGTAGTTAGAAAAGGCACCTACCTACCTTTGGGTCTAGGGGAGGCTGACATACAGAGCCTTGTCATACCCAGGTCATTGTCACTGAGCTATGACCTCATCTGCTTTGTGATGACAGCTTGGTAAGCTTTAGGTGACCCCAGGCACAAAGCTCCAGTTTCCCACCTTGGTTTGTGATCTTCTTGCTTCCCATCTCCAGAGTGCCAGGAGTTCAGCTGTGCACCACTGTACGGTTTGTGAAGGGCAAATCAGCCAGGCTTTTGTGTATCCTAAGCAAGCAAGCTACTGCGTTCCATCTCTAGCCACTGGTGTGTCCCCCCCCCCCGCCCCGCCTTCCTTTCTCTCTCTCTCTCTCTCTCTCTCTCTCTCTCTCTCTCTCTCGTTTTTGAGACAGGGGTTTTACTGTGTAGCCCTGGCTGTCCTGGAACTCACTCTGCAGACAAGGTTGGCCTTGAACCCAAAAAGATGCCCCTGCCTTTGCTTCCCAAGTCCTGGGACTAAAGGCGTGCGCCACAACCTCCCAGCTGCTTTCTTTTTGTAGGACTAGGAACCCGATCCAGTTCGACTCGGTACTTGTTTTATTTGCAGTATGTGATGAGACTATATAGTTGGTAAAATATGCTGTTTCGTGAGCTGCTTGCGAATGGCAGAGTATACAGCAATCTGACCTCTCTTCTTACATACAACAGTCTAACTGAATCTGCTCTGTGACTGGAAAAGTTGAATAAGATGCACGGCTTTGTGATGGGGATGACCTGTTGCTGTGGTAAGACTGACAAAAAGCAACGTAGGGGAGAAAGGGATTTCTTCAGCTTATAAATCCATCATAGATATGGGGGTCCAAGGTGGGAACTTAAAGCATCGCATCCACATGAAAACAGAATAAATGCACGGACTGTTGCTTGTCTGCCAGCTCTCTTTACTTTTAAAACATAACTCAGCGCCCAGGCTATGGAATGGTGCCGCCCACAGTGGGCTGGGTCGCTCTACACCAATTAACCAACACAACCCACTAGACAGCAGGCCAACCTGATTTAAGCAATTCCTCAGAAAGACTTTCGTTGAAGTTGATTCTAAGTGTCAAGTTGACAGTTAAAACTAACAACATACTTAAGACATGTAAGCATGCACCAACTTTTAGGGCTTCTCCTCCATCCACAGGTCAGTCATGCTCATCCAGGTATCGGCATGGAGAGTTCTGAAGGCATGATCAAGGCTAGTCAGCTCCAGAGTAAGAAATTCTTCATTTAAAAGTTCACATTTTTGAAGGACATAACTTGAAGATGGCTGTGGTGGCCCATGTCCAAAACCTCAGCACTCAGGATGAGACAGAAGGGTCCTGTAGGTCGAGGGCAGCCTGGGTCTCTTTGTCAACTACTTTCTGCCTTACTTTTTGAGGCAGGATCTCTCCTACATACGGAACTTGCTGATTGAGCTAGACTGGCTGGCTGTGGAAGCCCCAAGAACTGTCTATCTCCCCACCTCTTCTTCCTCCCTCCCCCACAATGTAGCCACGGAAGCACACTGCTTCTCCTTGGTATTTGATGTGAGTGCTGGGATCAAAATCCAGGTCTGAATCCTTGTTTGGCAAGCACTTTACTGACAATTGCCCCAAGTCCCCCAAATGAGGAAAATTTAAACCATAATAGTTGTCAAATATTTATTATGTTCAATAACACATTTTAAGCCACTTCCCCACGGGGCATGGTGGTACATGCTTGTAATTAAACTGGGACACATTCAAGGCCATCCTCAGCTACACAAAGAGCTTACCAAGTACCAAAACACTTTAAGCAATTTTATGTTTGGAGACAGAGTCATTATGTAGCCCTGACTGCCCTAGAACTCACCCTGTAGATCAGGCTGGCCTTGTACTCAGAAGATCCACCTGCCTCTGATTAAAAGCAAGAAAAGAAAGGGAGATCATCAGGCCATAAAAGCCAAGAAACAGATCCAAGATAGGTGACTGTTAATTACAACACTCTAGAGGCAGAGGGAGGACTGTCACAGGCCCTGGGTCAGACAGGACTCCATTGCAAGGCCGTATTTCTAAAGGAAAGAGGGGCTGGAGAGCTGGCTCAGTGAGTAAGAGTGTGCGCTGCTCTTGCAGAGGACCTGGGTGAGGTTTCAGGTTCCTAACACCCAGTGCCTCAGAACCACCTCAACTCCTCCACAGGCGATCTGATGCCTTGGCTCCACAGAAGTCTCCAAAGCACCCGTGCTCACATGCACAGGCCACATACAGTCTCCCTGTGCAGTCCTGGCTGGCCTGGAACTCTATGTAGGCCAAGCTAGCCTTAGATTCAGAGATCTTCCTGCCTCTGCATTCTGAGTTCTGGGATTAAAGGGAGCAGAGGAGAGGAATGGGGGAACAGATCAGCTGGGCAGAGGTCCAACTGGATGTGGGCATGCACCTATAATTCCAGCATGTAGGAAGCCGATGGGAGGGTCAGGACATGAAGGCCAACCTAGGCAAGACTTATCTCAAAATAAAAACAGCATTTAAAGTTGGGGAGTTAAGTCCAAAAATCTAGGAACACAGCTTGTTTGTGTTAAAACTGACAGGACCGAGTGCTGAGACATCCACGTCGCCATCCACGAAGAGGGACATGATGCCCTGCCAACCTCCGCATACCCAAGCTGCAGTATTTACATTGTAAATCATAACATCAACCATAAGAGGAAAGCAAGGGACCTTTTGAAAATATACTGGGATGAAAAATGACTTACAAGCATCACCACCAAAACAGATCTCTTCCAATCATGAATTGGCTACATTTACAAACCCAAATCTGACATTAAAAAACAAACAAAAAAAAAACTAATGTAACCACAAACTAGAGAAAACGGTCATAAGTATTACACAGCCAGCAGGAAAACAATCGTTCACCAGAAAATAGTATTAAGACAGTTCACAGAAAATGCAGTATTTGAAAATATGAAAGAATGGCATTAAAAGCAAATTACATTCAGCAGAAAAATGCAAATTAAAAATGTCATTACATTTCACTTAACAGAATGGCAAATCAGACTTTAATAAGGTGTCAGCAAAGGCAGAGGAAAGGGAGCCATACAACATCCGAGAAAGAACCAACTGCTATTGGCCTTTTGTAAATGCACATGTACTCAAAACAGCAAAGGCAACCCAGGGGTGGAGCTTTCCTAGACACCTGCACATAGAAGCTAATATGTACAACGACAGTCACCTCATTCTGTATTTCAAAGGGGAGAAGACTATGTACCTCAGTGAGGGACTGATTCAGTTAACTGTGGGGAGGCCAAACAATAACACTACACAGACAAGGACCATGAGCAAGGAAGTTAGTCTTTATTCCCTAATATATTCCACTTTCTACACTTAGAAACACTAACGGACGTATTCTTCAATAATGTAAAGGATTTAGTTTCAGTGCTGAGGGGAAGGAGTCTCACTGTGTAGCCAAGGCTGTCCCTGGCCTTCCACTCCTGAGTGCTGGAATGCAGGCTCCAAACCCCTCACACCCTTACCTCCCCTCTCACCACCCCCCAACGCAGGGAGGGTCTCACTGTGTAGACCAGGCTGACCTGGAACTCAGAGACCATCTAGCCTCTGCTTCCTGAAGTCTAGGGCTAAAGATGTGTAACACCACACCTGGCTTCGACAATTCCTTAACAGCTAAAGATCACCCCAGAATATGTCAGCTGCTTAACAAGTTATATGGATGCTTGCCTCCCAGTGAATTGCTGCTTTCAACCTATTCTTCCTCTTTCATCTTTTAAAACTCTCCAACACCTTGAGACAGTGAATTTCTCACTGACCTCAGTTTTCTGGACCTGACCCTCGCATTCCCTAGGTTATCCGAGGGGAAGTATTTCCCCTCAGCTCATCAAGTTCTAACTAGTGGTTACTTTGAAGTTATTTAAAAGTATATTTCCAAAGATAATGGAGAGACATCTCTGGGCCTATGCAAGAAGGCATTGTATGTAATTTGAACCAACTGAGACTTATTCAGACTTGAAGTTCAAGACACAGAAAATAATTTCTTATATAAGAGTATTTTGCAAATTTGGAGTCCAGGTATGTCCGCTAAGCCTTTCATTGCTATTTGTCCAAATGTTCTAGACAGGCACGTTAAAATCCAAGCTGTCTTTTCTCTTTGTAGTTTAACCTTTGCTTTTTATTTATGGAGGCTGTGCTATTAGTTACAAATAAAAACATTCAATCCTTTTAATGAGATGAATCTTTGAACACTATGTCATTTTTTCCATTTTCTTTTTCTTTTTTTTGGTAAATCATTTTTGTTCTTCAGCTCTTCCTTGTGTGATTTCTTTGGTTAATATCTCAACAGCATGGGTTTCTCTCCCCATCCTTTAATTTCAATCCTTTTGTAGCATTGTCTTATCTATTTATTTTTGAGGTGGGGTTTTTCTATGTACCCCAAGCTAGTCTGAAACAACAGCAATCTTATCTTCAGCTCCCGAGGGGTACAATTCCAAACGTCCCACAGCAACCTAGTCTTTCATTTAAATAAGAAAAACCTTTCTTCCAACTATAGTAATCAGCCTATTCAAATAGCTTTTGGAATTACTGATACAATGTCTACCATCCTACCGCACAACTTCCCACTGGCTCCTTCTAGGTTCACCGGTCTTTGTCTGCGGTCTTATTTTGATTACTGGTTGCTTCTGCTTTTCTCAGCTACCTTCTATGATTCTAACATAGACAGGGTCTCATGTGGCCCAGGTTAGCCTTGAACAATCCTGATTTTCTACACCCACCTTCCCAGCGCTGGGATTACATGAGTGCACCAACATACTCGGTTAAGACAGATCACCTTACGAAAACGATGGACTGGCAAAGGTATTATGTTGACAATCTGTTTCAAATGTCCCTGCTATCTGGTACGACAGCACCGGGGAAGCCGCAGCCTGGGCCACATGATCCTATGGCAAACAACAGCTTTCTTGAACAGTGTCACAGGCTCCACTTACGGGAACACAACCATTTTCCTACTTTTTAAGAGTATACTGGTTTGATTCTATGCGTCTGTGAATCCGTCTGAAAAATTTATATATAGTCATCAAAAGTTAAACATTTCAAATTTAAGTCAAATAACACTGAACAAATTATTTCATAGGAGTAACCCTTTCTAGCTGTACCCGGTGGCAGATGTCTGTAATCCCAGCTGTCAGAGGCCAGTGCAAGGAGATGAGCTCAAGGCCTGCCTTGGCAGTTTAGCAAGACCAGGCCTCAGAAAATAGAGGGCTGGGAACGGTTCAGTGGCTCCCGACTGAGTTCAAGGCAGTGTGGGGGCACATACTGCTAACCCCAGCACTCAGTGTTTTAAAGCAGGATTGCCACAGGATTATGAGAGACGCTGTCTTGAAATAAAACCCACCAAAGCCAACCGACAATATTTCTGCCTGCAAATGTTCTGCTTCCTTCCCATTAGCCCTGACTGTTAAATCTGTGTCTTCCAAATGTCTCCTTAGGACCTGGAAAATCCAGTTAACGTATCAGATGGTTTGGGAAAAACTGTTAAGGTCCAGTTACCGATTTTACTGATTTTCTTAAACTCCTTTAAATTAAGTAATCAATTATTGTAATAATATCTACTTCTGCTGTCAACTCTAGAATTTATTGATTTTTTATTGAATATTTTATAGCATTTATGCAAATGAGCCACATCATGTTTTATTATGTAGAGCTGCCTATCTTCCACACTGAAGCAAGCTGTATTTTCAGGCTGAATTTTTCGCGTAATCCAGAAGTTACATGGTGATGGTTATAGATTGCAAATGTGTTCCACTTCCCATCCTGTGCAAACCCATCTGTCCTGTATAAGTAAACTCACAGTTTCTGCTACGGAGGACACTTTGAGCCCACCTTCCGGCTAAATGCAGTGAGTCCTGGCGGCCGCGCCAGAGTCAACTGCCTGGTTCAACTGAAGATGGGGTGAAAAGCTGCTCATCATGTTCTAGTCCGACCATTGTTGCCAAAACTCACCATGAGAGCTTTGCTATGGGACAAGCTGACAGGAGATGGCATTAATAAAATGCACATGAACATTCTACTAATAATAACGAAGACTATGGCAAATAGATGGTTCCTAACATTTCCTAATCCTTCCTCCATGCTACTGACTATGCCAAAGTTCCCTCTACTAAATTCATTCAGTCCTCACAAGAGCCTTACTACTGACTAACAGGCAGCAATCTGAAGTGCAGAAGTTAGCTAATAATAAAATACAGGTGGCAAATGATGCACGGGATAGCGTCTACACCAAGAAGGCCCACGCAATCATTCTCTATGTGGCATTTTCTATAGCTATAATTAAATGTAACCCTTTTACTGGTAATAGAATTAGTATTTCTAGTCATAATTTAATTTTTATTTTTCCTATGTGTATTAATGTTCAATAAATTGTAGGTTATAAAGCAAAAAAAAGTAGTTATCAGATGGTCTTCTCTTACAAACTCTTATTCGGTATCGAATAGCTGAAAAAAACGAGGGCTTCCTGTCCTAATCACCATAGTATAAATTACACAATGTTAAGAGGCTCCATACGCCTCACTTCCAGGCTTTTCTCAGCAGGGTCAGGGTAGCTGAGGGACACCTACGGGTGTTTCCCATATTTCTGATCTTATCAACATTTTTCTTCCATATATACATGAAGATGTTGAACAAATAAAGGGCAGTATTCAAATACATAGAATTTCTCCCATTGTGTGTATTCTCTGGTGCTTCTTCACCTGCAGGAGCCGAGTAAAGGCCTGTCCACACTCCTTGCATTCATAGGGCTTCTCGCCAGTATGGATTCTTTGATGCTGCGTAAGGTGGGACCTCTGTCTAAAGGCCTTGCTGCACTGCTGGCATTGAAAGGGTTTCTCCCCAGTGTGGATCCTCTGGTGTAGAATAAGAGTTTTACAATCGATAAAAGCCTTTCCACACTCTTTACATTCATAAGGCCTCTCCCCAGTGTGAATTCTCTGATGTCTATTAAAGTATGACGGACAAGCGAAGGCCTTCCCACACTCCTTACACTCATAAGGTTTCTCGCCAGTGTGGACTCTCTGGTGTTGGATGAGATGTGCTTTCTGCCTAAAGGCCTTCATACACTCCTGACACTCATAGGGCTTCTCATTTGTGTGAGTTCTATAGTGTTTCATGAATGCTGAATGACAGAGAAAGGCTTTTTCACAATAGTTACACTCATAAGGTTTTTCACCAGTGTGAATTTTCTGGTGATCATTCAAGTTGGAAGCCCAAGTAAAAGTCTTTCCACATAAGTTACACTCATAGGGTTTCTCACCGCTGTGAATTCTTTGATGTCTGGTAAGGTTTGCACTCTTGTTAAAGGCCTTCTGACATTTGTGACACTCGTAAGGCTTCTCATTGGTGTGTGTTCTCTGATGTTGAAAAAATGTAGAGAAGTAGAGGAAGGCCTTCCCACAGTGCTTGCACTCATAGGGCTTCTCATCCGTGTGAACTCTCTGGTGCTGGACGAGCAGGGAGCAGTTAGTGAAGGCTTTCCCACATTCCTTGCATTCACAGGGCTTTTCGCCAGTGTGAAAGCGATTATGTTGAACAAGGTAAGCATGCTTTTCAAAGATCTTGCCACAGATCTCACACTGATAGGGCTTCTTATTGATCTGATATGGGGCAAGATGGAAGTCATAGGCAAATCCTCTGCTGCACTCCTTCAACTCATCACACTTCTCGCCAGCAAAGTCCTGCTGATGCTTCATCTGATCCGTGTAGTAGACAAACGAATTCTCATACACTTCGTTAAGTTTGTCACTGGCAGGAACTCTTACCTGCTGAGTAATGGATTCGCCTGCCTCCTGTTGATAGTGTTTTGTTTCAGAGTGAGTCATTTCACTCAGAGCGATGGGTGCAGGCTGAATGAATTCGGCTGGCATCTTTTCCAACGGAGCTGCCACTCTCTCAACACACTCCTCTGTGGATTCCGCTTGTACCTCAAGGAGTCCCTTGCATCTCCAGTCATTTCCAAAACTAGATTCCTCAAGGCAAGAATTACCGACTCTTTCTATTATTTTCCATTTCAATGATTCCTTTCCAAAGATGCCACACTCTAGAGATAAATTCTTCGTTTCATTTACAGACAGCAAATCTGAAAGGAAAATACATATTTAGTACTAGAAGACATGAAACTCTACATTAGAAATGGGTGACTGGTGGGGAATGCCTTAAACCTGAGCACTGGGGAGGCAGAGACAGAGTACAGATAGTTATAATTAAAAGAAATAAGAAAAAATAAGCCATGTAAAAATGGAAAATTCACAGAGAGTTTGGATTCTGTATATTGTATTTTCTTTGAACTTTTTGACTGTGAAGGATCTAAACACAAAGAGACATTTCACTGTGTGGGCTGCTAAGCTGATCCAACATGTATGTTCTAAAGGTATCATGACTTCCAAATTTGGGTCTAAGGATATGATGCTTTGGAGAGGGTCTTCTTTTGTTTTTACAGAGGATGAGACCCTGTGGATTGCTTCTATCCCAATATGGTATGACAGACCACACCTTCCTGAAAGGTTACTGTGAATACCCTCAAAAAATTACTTCACTCAACTGCCAACTGAGAGGAACCTAGCAAACAGGATATACCATGAAAGACCTGAATAACAGCGCCCCCATACAGCAGGAAGCAGTTTGGAGAGAAAAAACTGTGCCCATATTCCCAAATATTGTTTATAAATGTTTTTACATTTAAAGGGGGATATGATATATATATATATGATATATATATATGATATATATATATATATGATATATATATATGAATAATTTGGATTGATATGAATCTTGGTTTACTGATACTAATATAAGGTCAATCTTGTTATATGTATATTTCTGCTCTTGATTAAGGTATTGTGATTGTGTAGTTCATTTAAAAAATGTAATGTATAATTAAGAAATATAGGTTAATGGATAATCATCAATAATAGTCAAGCTTGTAGTCATGTTAGTTAGATTTTCCAGATATGTAGAGATATATTTCGGTTTGATAGGCATTCATCATATCTTTCAAAGACTATAGAATATGGCATTTAATGTTTTAATAACTTAGGGCTTTTCATGACAATGAGACACGTGTGCTCCTGGCAGCACCAGCTACTTCAAGAGAAAGATGGGCATTGAAGAGGCTCCTTATGGAGTTTGCTAGCCATTTGTGCAAGAAACTGCTCTTGCCTGGACTTTTGCATAAACTGGACACAAAGAACCTGCAGAGAGAGAACTGCTGAACTTGCCTAAAGGTGAGATGATCCTTTAGGGTGCCTGTTTCATGAAAGAGTCTGTGAGACATTCTGCAGGACACAGAAGAAAGTGACTGAACTGTCTTTGAAATTTCTTGCTTCATGGAAAAGTCTGCTGGATACTATGGGCCTGTAGGCTGAAGATGGATGCCCCAACGGTACAGAAAAACTTTGAGTGACTGTCCAGGCAGCAAGATGTCTCTGTCATTTCTAGAGTTTTGGAAGTTGCTTACTTCTCATTTACTTAGGTAATATTATATCCTTCTGAAGTCTTTGATGGAGTTGAAGAATGGTTAGTTATAGTTTTCCTTTGTTATGATAAAAGATAAAATAGATATAAATATTGTGACTAACTCTTGCTTGATAACTGTTTTGTTATATGTAATTTTACTATGTTAAAATGAAAGCCTTTCTTTTTTTGTTTAAACAGAAAAAGGGAAGCCGGGCGGTGGTGGCGCACGCCTTTAATCCCAGCACTCGGGAGGCGGAGGCAGGCGGATCTCTGTGAGTTCGAGGCCAGCCTGGTCTACAAGAGCTAGTTCCAGGACAGGAACCAAAAGCTACGGAGAAACCCTGTCTCGAAAAATCCAAAAACAGAAAAAGGGGAAATGGTGTAGGAGGGTCTTCTGTCTATGTGTTACTTTCATTGGTTAAATAAAGAGACTGCCTTGGCCTTTTGATAGGACAGCAGCTTAGATAGGTGGAATAGACCAAACAGAATGTTGGGAGAAAGAAAGCAGAGTCACGCAGACGCCATGCTTCTCCTACCCAACACGGACGGTGGTTAGACTCATGCCATACCGTACAGTCAAGTGGCGATACACATTTATAGAAATGTGTTAATCAAGATGTGAGAGTTAGCCAGTAGAGGCTAGATATAATGGGCCAGGCAGTGTTTAAATGAATACAATTTCCATGTAATTATTTCGGGTAAAGCTAGCCGGGAGCTGGGCCCAGGGAAGTGGCCCGCCACTCCTTTTACAGCAACGGCTCAGCGAATAAAGGTGCAAACCTGACAATCTGAGTTCAGTCCCAGATCACAGCTGAAGAGCAGAACATACTCCTCACCAATGCACCCTAAAGTGCACATGTACACTGTTAAGTCTCAAACCCTGGAACAAATGGCAGAGGTGTCTATTTAATATATGAAAGCTGACCTGGAAACTCCTAGGGAGAGAGGAAGACTGTCCAGGAAGAAGCTGAGAGAAGCCATGAGGGAGAAGGGGTAAATGTCTGGTAACAAGAATTTCAGTCAAATTTCAACTGGAGCATCCCCAAGCAGACAGAGAGACTTGTTGGAGAGAAATGTCCCAAATCACAGAGTGGCGTCCCTTTCCATATGATGGGGGCCCAGTATGGCAAGAAGCAGCTTCCTGACACACCACTGTGACTTCTGTAGTAAAAGTGGACTGTGGAGGCCCAAAAATGTGAGCCTATTTCCACCTGGTCTGAAGGTCAGAGATCCACCTTGCTCAAAGTTGTTGCCATTCCACCCTGACCAAAAGTCAGAGAGTTGGAACTTACTTCTAGTCCTTCAAGGTTATTGTTTGTTTCTACCTCAGACAAAGGTCCCATATAGATTTAGATCAGAGAGTTCTGCTCTCTGTTAACAAGTGTGGCTAATATTCAACCTTGTATTTCAGGAATAGAGAAGTAGACCTGTTTCTACCTCAAACAAAAGTCTAAGGATCCAACTAAGTTCCTACTCTCTCATGGAGATAACTATGGATTCTACCCAGGGAGTAGTTTGCCTACAGAATGTTTTGGTTAGGGTGTGAGCGTTACTTATCTTGTTCTAGTAACAGAATGTTACTATGAATGTAGCCTGCAACCTTCAACTGACCTGCTCAATTCCTTGCCTCTTGTTAATAAAGTTTTTTATCTTACTCCTTCCTTTTGAGGTTAGGGGTATTTTAAGCAAATGGAAATTAAATGCATGCAATTTCAGCATTCACTGGAACTCCCTCCCGTACTATCCTATGTTTTCTGTTTTATTATTTTCATTCACATCTAAATTCCCTTTACTAATTTTCCTAATCCCCATGTCCCTACCCTGGTAAGTGATTTTTTTTGTCGAAGCTGGTCCTAGACAGTAGACAAAGCAGGAAACTCCATAGTGACACTTACCCAGTAGAAGGGGAGAAATGAGAGGTTAGAGCAGGCAGAGGAGAAAATAGCTGTAGACGTGCAAGTGTTTTAGTAAGTAGGGTTGCACACATGTGGGGCCCCAAAGGGCACAGCAGGGCCCATATGGTGGGTGGCCCAAAGGGCTTAGCAACGAGATGCCTACATGGTGGGCACCCCAAAAGGGTACAACAGGGAAAGAGAATACTTATTGAGTCAGTGAAGAGAGATGGTTAGATAAGGTTGTTATGGTTTAAGTAAAATGTTGCAGATTCATTCGTAGAGAGCCTGGCCAAGTCATGGCACCAATATTATGGTTTAAGTAAAATGCTGCAGGTTCTCTGCGAGGCGCAGAGGCAGAAACACTGCAGGTCCCCAAGTGATGGCAGGCAGCGGGTCCTGAAACCACGGCAGGCCATGAAGGGCAGCAAATCCCAGGCAAGGAGCCGCATGGTGGGTGAGAGACTGAGATGGACAGACACGCCACAAGACCACACCGCAGGTCTCTGAAGGCAGTTGGTCCTGGGTAGAGAACCACATTGTTGAAATATGAGCGGTGGGCTGTGTCCCGCCACCCGGCTAGCTTTACCCGAAATAATTACACGGAAACTGTATTCTTTTAAACACTGCTTGGCCCATTTCTATCTAGCCTCTTCTTGGCTAACTCTCGCACCTGGACTAGCCCATTTCTTATAATCTGTGTAGCCCAAGAGCTGGCTTAACCTGCGTCTGCCTGGAGTGGGAGAATCATGGCGACTCCTTGACTCAGCTTCTTTCTCCCAGAATTCTGTTCTGTTTACTCCACTTACCTATGTTTTAACCTATGAGGGCCAGCCAAGCAGTTTCTTTATTGCTTAACCAATGAAATCAACAGACTGATATATGACACTCCCACATCACCACATGGTGGGCGAGAGACAAAAACATGGATAGGCATGCCATGCAGAGTGAAGTTGGATATTTATTTAGTGGGTTATGGAAGGGAAGGGGAAAAGAGGAAGAACAGAGAGAAAGAGAGGCAGAAAGAGAGAAAAAGAGAGAAACAGAGAAGGGGGAAGGGAAGAAGTGGGGAGAAGGGAAAGACAGAAGTTACCTCTTCAAGAATGAGACGGAAAGGAAGTGACTCAGGCTGGAAGCTGAAGATCAGCTTGCCTTGGTAGACAGGGGAGGGAGTGGGCGTGGCTTGTCTTTTAAAGGGACAGGACAGACCATTACAAAGGTGGAAGGGAGAAGTAGCTAAAGAGATGGAACTCTAGAATTGAATTTGGTGGGCGGCAGAAGCCAGCAGAAACAAATGATCAGTACATACCCCAGGAGAGTCAGATCAACAGCTTGGTTCAGAGAGGCTGAGTTCCCTAGAAGGGAGTTCATTTATGACACTCTTGGGCTTCAGCAGCAAATGGATGAAAAAAGAAATAAAAAGGAAAGGAAAGGACGTGACTGCTCCTCGGGATGGGGGAGGTCCCAAGAGGGGTGGTGGTCAGTCACCTGAGGCCTTGGTGGGTCCCCTGGCGGGTGGCCTGAGGCCTCAGCGGGAGACAGATGATAGATAGATAGATATGCCATGCAGAGAGAGTTTGGGTATAGAGTTTATTTAGTGGGTTATAGAGGGGAAAGGGAATGGGAATGGGATAATGGGAGAAGGGGGCAAGAAGAAAGGCAGAAGCTACCTCTCCAGAAGAAGGAGGGAGAAAGAGAGAGAGAGAGAAAGACAGAGAGAGAGTTGCTTGCCTTGATGGAAGGGGGAGGTTGGGAGTAGGTGGGGCTTGTCTCTTAAAGGGACAGGGTATCCGGGTGACAGACCAACCAAGCAGATTACACTGATAGCCAGGTCCACTTCGATATGTTAAATAGGCGCACGTCAGCCATTTGTCCCAGTGTTTATAAAACAAAATAACAAGGATTTTAAAAATTAAATAGCATAGGTAACCCTGGAATGATTACAGTAATATCAGATAAAATAGACTTCATGATAATCCACACTGTCAAAGACAATTTTATCAAAGCAATTAAAGGTCATACTCATCTGTCTGGCAATCACAGTTATATAATTCTATGATAACAAAGTCTCACAATTCATAAGGGAAAACAGAAATAAGAAATGACAATCCTACAATCACAGCTGCAGATGCTCCAATTATCTCCCATAACATACACAGTCAGACTCCTCCAAACAGTCAATCAAGACAACAAAATTACACATAGTACTGGGCAACATTATTAATAAATAAAATAAAACTGTCTAATTTTTGTAATGATGACATCAGCAATGGCTAAATGCAGTGAGATGGCACAGCCAGCTAAGGGTTTGCTGTCAAGCCTGAAGACCTGATTTTGATCCTGGCGAACCACATGGTACAATGAGAGAACCCACTCCCACGCACGCACACACACACACACACTCAAAATAAAAGTAGACAAAAAACCTGGGCGGTGGTGGCACAAGCCTTTAACCCCAGCACTTGGGAGGCAGTGGCAGGCAGATCTCTGTGAGCTTGAGGTCAGCCTGGTCTAAAAGAGCTAGTTCCAGGAAAGCCAGGGCTGTGACACAGAGAAACCCTGTCTTGAAAAATCAAAAACCAAAAACCAAAACCAAAAATAAACAAAAAAACCAAACATACAAACAAAAAAAGTAGAAAAAAAAAAAAGAAAAGATAAAGAAAAAGCAAGCTGCTGGTCCTCTCCCTATCTCAAACTATTTCTTCCAGAACACTGGTCTCACAGCAGGACTCTGCACACTGCAGGAAAGGACAATCCCTGTGGCTCCATGACTGGTGTGGCTTTCCCCAAAAGCACCCCAGCTGCTCCCAACATCCTTACGCACCTGGATACCATCCTGCTTGCTCCACCATCCACGGTTCTTTGCCTTGCTCCAGCAGTGAAATTACTAAAGGCTTAGAAATGGCAAGTCCTACTCAGAGAAAGAGAATGTTAAAAACAAATACAGAAACAGACAACAACAGGCAACAGCATTTGTTACATAATTAGTTTAACTGAAAACAAATTTCGGATCTTCAGGATGATTGTGATTTAAAACAAATGAATAAAAAAGTTGCTGTTTAGCAAGCAATTACTAAACAATTGTTGCTTGCAGAGATCACCGATGAAAATTAAAATTATGAGAAAGTATGTATATAGCGTATCAAAGGAATTCAAAGAAAGCTATTTACCAGCTATTAAGTGGTGGCTTTGGAAATGAAGAAAAAGCTCACCAGTTAAGTCCTGCATGCGGCAGACTTTCCTCTCCACAGATCTTCATCTCTAGCATTAAGGGAAACATCTTCTGGATTATGAGAAACAGACGGCCTTACCTAGTGACACAAAGTTGCTGTAGGTCTCCAGCATCACATCTCTGTATAAAGACCTCTGCTCAGGGCCCAGGCACTCCCACTCCTCCTTACAGAACTCCACAGCCACATCCCTGAACACCACCAGCTCCTGGACGAAGAGCACACAGACAAGATCAAAGGAAACCATTTCAGGCGAACGTTAAGACTGCCTTTTCAAGGCTTTTCCAGGGCAAGACGTCCCCTCCCAGCACAGGGAAACTGAACATTTCAAAGCATTGGCCTTTGGCTCCTGAGAAACTATTTCTGAGCCCCTGGATGTCCTGCCTGATGAGGTATTTCTTTTCTGTATGCCCGACTGAGGCCTTGGGCTGGGCCAGCTTGACCTTTAGGAGGCTGGAGAATCAATAACAAAGATGAGTTGTAGCCACCATGGGTAGGCCAGCAAAAAACCCCAGACGAAGAGCATTTGTTAAGCGTTGCTTGCTGGTCATACTTGCTATACATTGTCTCATACCATGGCTAGGAGAACTAAGCATGTCTCCAGACTTCCACCAAGGGGACACAATGCAGACTTTAGACTTCACCCTTGGCAAACTTCTCTTTCCTGGCCCACATTCTTTTTTTTTCTTTTAACTTATTTAACCTATTTATTTTGTGTGCATTGGAGTAAAGGTGTCAGATCCCCTGGAACTGGAGTTATAAACAGTTGTGAGCTGCCATGTGGGCCCTGGGTATTGAACCCAGGTCCTCCAGAAGAGCAGCCAGTGCTCTTAACAACTGAGCCATCTCTCCAGGCCCCTTTTCTGCATTCTTTTGAGGGTAAATTCACAAGTATGAGGATAACTGCTTCTCTTAGTTGTGCAAATTCAACCAAAGAATCACTCCAGTCTATCCAGACAAGTAGTTCACTCCCGTAATCCCAGCACTGGGAAGGACAGCTAGAAATTCAGGGCTAGCCTGGGTCTTAGTTAGGGTTATACTGTGATAAAACATCCCAGCCAAAAGTAACTTGAGGAGAAAGAAGTGTATGCCCCTTATGCTTCCAAGGTACCATTCATCACTGAGGAAAGTCAGGGAAGGAACTTAAATAGGATGGTACCAAGAAGCAGTAGGAGATGCAGAGGCCACAGAGGGGTGATGCTTACTGGCTTGCTCCCCATGGTTTTCTGCTTTCTTATAGAACCCAGGACCACCAGCCCAGAGATGGTGCCACCACAGCAAGCTAGACCCTCCGCACCAATCACTAATTTAAAAAATGCCCTATTGGCTTGCCTTCAGCCTGATCTTACGTAGGTATTTTCTCAATTGAGGGTCCCTCCTCTCTGATGCTAGCTTGTGTCAAATTGACATGAACACTAACCAGGACATCTAGGCTACACAAGTTCCAGACCAGCCTGTGCTACAGAATGGCACTCAGTCTCAAGTAGGAAAAAACAAGAAAGCCAAACCCACAGACGAGGTACTGCAGTTGAGGTTAAAAGGAGCGAGCCAGAGAGAAGACCAGGAGTGCACTGGGGCCCACAGAGAGGCACACAGCAGTGCGCTGGGGCCCACAGAGAGGCACACAGCAGTGCGCTGGGGCCCACAGAGAGGCACACAGCAGTGCACTGGGGCCCACAGAGAGGCGCACAGCAGTGCGCTGGGGCCCACAGAGAGGCGCACAGCAGTGCGCTGGGGCCCACAGAGAGGCGCACAGCAGTGTGCTGGGGCCCACAGAGAGGCGCACAGCAGTGCCCTTGGGCCCACAGAGAGGCACACAGGAGTGCGCTGGGGCCCACAGAGAGGCACACAGCAGTGCGCTGGGGCCCACAGAGAGGCACACAGGAGTGCGCTGGGGCCCACAGAGAGGCGCACAGGAGTGCGCTGGGGCCCACAGAGAGGTGCACGGCAGTGCACTGGGGCCCACAGAGAGGCGCACAGCAGGAGAATGTGCGGTCCAGTGTACGCAGCTGCTCAGGACAAAACCATCTGCTGCTGGCACCACCTGTTCTGGGAACCTAACACACTCAAATGGAAGCCCAAAAACTATTCTGTGGGTGTTTCGGTTATGACTAAAATAATAATAGGGACATATAACATGGCAATGGGCACACTCTTGGGGACAAGAGACACAGAAGACACTTGGAAAATAAAAAAGCATTGTAGCCACACGAGAACCAAAAGCTGACTCCCTTCTCGCTTTTGTTCTGTCCCCTCTACTTTGGGTCCCTCTCATAACTCTGCAAACAGGCATGCTGTCACTGAGATTAAACCAGGACACCTACACTGCTCGTCTTTCCTTCCAAGGCTGAAGCATGCAAGAGGGTGGAGGCACTGTACTGGCAATCTTTCTGTGTGTCCCCTCCAGAATCCCTAAAGGCACCTAAAGGTCTTGGGTCCTGGTCCTAAACCTGCACTCACCTTGGATTTCAGGAATGGTATAGGCTTAAGGGCTGCCCCCGCCCCCAGATGTAGCCAACTGTCCCTAAGGGCAGGGCCCAATCAGGCACAAAAGTAACCATCTGCTGAGAATAAATCTGTCTCCTAGGACCCCGAGGACTTCTGCACACCAGCTCCCAGAAAGGGACAGGACGGGGACTAATCAGACCACACCTCCATCAGGATTACTTAATTGTGCAGACCTCCCTCACGCCAATCCTTCCCAGAGTTAGCCCTAAAAGCTCAATGCCTCAAAGATAGTCTTAGCGCATCTTTATCTCTGTCCGGCCACAAAATCAACTTCTCTCGGCTTTGCACTGTTACTTATTCTTTATCTATTTTAATTTTTAAAATTCCTATGTGTGTACACTGAGGTCAAAAGGGAAACAGGCCTGGCACGGTGGTGCTCACCTTTAATCCCAGTGCTCCGGAGGCAAAGGCAGTGGATCTGTGAGTTCAAGGCCAGCCTGGTCGACAGACTGAGTTCCAGGACAGCTTCGGCTGTTTTACACAGAGAAACCCTATCTAGAAAAGTTTTTTAAACTAAAAAAATAATAAATGAATTTTAAAAGAAATATTTTTGGTTTTCTAGGTGGAAAGTTATTAAGCAGAACAGAAAAGACAATGGGTTTCTGATGGGATTAATGAATAAAAAAACAAGGAATAAATTATACACCTGTTCTGGGGGGTTATCAAAGGATGTGCAACCAATAAATGACGTGGGAGCAGAAAGCTCATGAGCTCAAGCTCATCCTTGGCTCTAAACCAAGCTCAAAGCAGCCTGGTCTACATGAGACCCTGACTAAAAAAATTACTACATAATAAGACTGTCCCATTAAATAAGTAACCAAAATAAAAATATAAAGACTGCATATTTAAAAGCAAAAGTGTTTTCCTTTATTTGTAAACATATACCAACATTTTTCTTTGCCGATTTTTCTTTTCTTTTTTTAAATATTTATTTATTTATTGTGTATACAATATTCTGTTTGTGTGTCTGTCTGCAGGTCAGAAGAGGGCACCAGACCCCATTACAGATAGTGGTGAGCCACCATGTGGTTGCTGGGAATTGAACTCAGGACCTTTGGAAGAGCCGGCAATGCTCTTAACCTCTGAGCCATCTCTCCAGCCCCTTTTTTTCTTATTTTTAGACAGGACCTCAAGTAGTGAGCTTGGAACTTACTGGGTGGCCTAGGGTAGGCTTGCTCTTGCAGCAATCCTGAACAACTTTATATTTCCCTTTTTCCTGACTCTCAGGCGACTGAGCACGTGATCCAGTCATGATCTCATTTGGTATATTCTATGTGTCAGTACCTGTTAACAACCACATGCCTATTAATTCAGTCAGAACGGATCTAAAGTAAGTGCTGTTATTTCCTCTACTTTCAGATAAGGAAATTGAGGAATAGAAAAATGAAGTAAACTCATGAATCAGGAGGTATTGATATTCCTTACATGGCCCAGAAGATGCTTGAATGAAAAAAGAAAAAAAACAAAACAAAAACAAAAAACCCCATATAGTCTCTTGTAGTTCTCATATACTGAAGAAAACAGAATCACACTGGCAAACCTCAACCTCACATGGTTACCATGACAACAGGGTGACAATTCCATTTCCGGAATCAGCAGCCAGAAGACAGGTGACAGAAGCAATCCTACTCACCTTGAACACAGTGTTGACATCCACAATAGCCATGCTTCTCTACTCTTGGGGCACTCTGGGAAATGGCAGAGCTGGAGAAGGAAGAGAGAGTGAGAAATTAGGTCAAACATCCCAAGACCTAAGAAGACACAACCGAGACTGAAATGCTGCTGAGGGACACTCGTAGGGATGGTGACAGATTCTCATTCCTCCCATTTGAAAGGCCTGTGACCCACACAGGAAGTCCTTCCCACCCCATTAATAGGGTAAGGAATGTGCCATTGAGATGTGGGGTATTGCTCTTGTACACTGTAAAGAATCATCACACGTATTAGTTTAATAAAACGATGATTGGCCAGTAGCCAGGCAGCAAGTATAGGCACAATGGCCAGAATAGGAGAATTCTGGGAAGAGGAAAGGCAGAGAGTCAGTCACCAGCCAGATGCAGAGAAAGCAAGATGAGATTGCTTTACTGAGAAAAGGTACCAAGCCATGTGGCTAAAAATAGACAAGAATTATGGGTTAATTTAAGTTGTAAGAGCTAGTCAATAATAAGCCTGAGCTAATAGGCCAAACAGTTTATAATTCAAATAAGCGTCTGTGTGTTTCTTTGGGACTGAACAACTGCAGGACCAGGTGGGACAGAAACTTCCAGCTACACCATTCCCATATGCCCTTATCACTAGGGTAGAATCCACAAGCTACAGCATCGGTGTCCCAGAAGATTCCCAGGCATAAATGCCATTGATGTATAGCATGCATAGAAAAAACTTCTTATGGACATGTAGACATTTCTTTTTTCTTTTTTTAAATGATGGGGTCTCACTAAGTAGACCAGGCTGGTCTTCAGCTCAGAGATCTGCCTGTCTCTGCCTGCCCCATGCCTGACTCCTTTAACTTTCTCTCTCTCTCTCTCTCCTTTCTTTTTTCTGACTCCTTTAATCTACTTTCTCCTCTTCTCTTCTCTTCTCTTCCCCTCCCCTCCTCCTCCTTCTTCTTCCTGTCTCTCTCTCTCTCTTTCTCTCTCTCTCTCTCTCTCTCTCTCTCTCTCTCTGAAACAAGGTCTCACTGTGTAGCCCTGGCTGGCCTGAAACTCAAAATGTAGACCAAGATGACCTTAAACTCACAGAGATCTAACTGCCTCTCATTCCTGAGTACTGAGATTAAAGGTGTGCACCACTATGTTCAGTCTTTAATTTTTTAAATTATGCTATGTCTATAATGCCCAAGGCCCCTTCAAGTACCCAATAAAATGCCTTTTCTACGGGTAATATGAGTTTCCCCAACACTAGTGCTATTTGTTCCCCTTTCTTCAACCCCCAAAAAATTTGCCTTAGAGTTTATGATCAGAATTGTTTTTAAAAGATTAATTTATTTTATGTTTATTGGTGTTTTGCTTGCATATGTGTCTGTATACCATGTGTACACCTGGTGTCTTGAGAGGTCAGAAAAGAGAACTGATCCCCTGGAACTGAAGTATGGGTGGTTATGAGCTGCCATGTGGGTGCTGAGAATTGATTTCCTCTACCTCATGCAAATAAAAAAGAGGAACTTGATCTCCTCTCTGGAAATCATAAACACAAAGCAAAGTACATTCGAGGAACGCCGAAAATTTCTGCAGGAACTGGTCAGGTTCAGAGTAAATTCCATTTTAGTCCGTTTAAGCTGCTATAACAAAATATCTGAGAATAGGTAGCTTAGAGACAGCAAACTTGTTCTCAGTTACGGAGGCAGAGAAGTCCCCATCTCAGCACTGACAGGTTTGGTGTCTAGTGCAAACCTATTTCCTAGTCCACAGAAGGAGACTGTTCTGTATTCTCATCTAGGGGACAAGCAGCTCCAGGAAGTCAAGGCACTAATCCCATGTAATTACCTTCAAAAAGTCCCCACCTCCTAAATCCACCACATTGACGGCCAGGTTTTAACTGTAAACTGGAAGAGTGGGGATGGGAAATGACTGAGAGCCAGTGTGCGCATGTGTGTCTCCTGCCTTAAAGGCTTGGAGCTGAGGTTTTCTTTTTAGAGCGCGAAGTGGCTCACCCTGAATCTTGAACTCCAAACTCTGACTTCTCCAGTCGCAGTCAACAGAGCCTTATAGATTCTCTAAGACTTTTCAAATCTGTTGTTTGTCCCTAAACAAGGCTAACTAAGGATGTGACACAAAAATAGGAGCCCCACAGTGGCACGTTTTTTCAAATATAATTTCTCCACCCTCATACATTTCTGAGACAGGATTTCACGACGGCCTGGAACCCACTATGGAGCAGTAACTGTCTTCCAGCTTTCACGGCCAGAGTGCTGAGATTACAGATGTGGGTCACCCCGTCTGACTTCTGACTATATTTAAAAGTCACGGTGATCGGTAAATCGATCTATCTTGGGTACAGATATCCTTATCATCTCTATTATTTAGCTTTCTTTTTTTCAATTTCTCAAGTAAACTTGACATCCAGTTAGAAATAGAGGTATCCCCCCCCCCCCCCCCCCCACACACACACACTTAGCGGTGGAAGACTAGAGGATCCGGTAACACTTATCACCCATGTTCTGACGACCTCGCGCACGCTCGCTCTCACCCTTCCGTACAATCCACACCCTCCGAGAGCCTTCTCGCTTGTGGAGTCGCACTTGCCTCGCCGTAGTCCCTGCGGAGATCTCTTCACCCCCAGCGCCATCCCGGAAACCGGGTGGGTCCCCTAGAGCCAGCCGGCAGCCGGCAGCCGGCAGCCGGCAACCAACAAATAAAGACCGGAAGGCCCCATACCCAAAATGCATAGAACCAGAGCCAGACTCACCTCAACTGGGACCCCACGGGCTACGAATTCCAAGGACCAGCGGATACCAACCACAGCAGTACCCGGTTAGGTCGGGTAGGACACTGAGATGATCCGGAACAACCTCTCTCCAGCCACTTCCGCCATGTGTCTCAGCTTTTAAAGTGGACTACATTTCCCAGCAGGCCGTGCTTCTCTAGACTCCCTGGGAGAGTTTCAATGCCAGAGTGTGGAAGCAGAGAATGTTGGAACGCTCCGGGAGAGAACGGACAATTAGCCTTCTAAGGAGGAACTTCCCACAGATTCGGGCCTGGGATCCTCTGAAACTTTTAAGGTGTTTCAGATCTGCGGTGGGGTGGAGATCTTTACAGAATACAGCAAGGATCGCCTCAAATGACCCAGCTCAGTACTACATTTCCCAGAGGCCATAGCAGACCATGTTCTCCTTGACGAACTCAGCCTACACTTGACCCTCTGCTGTAGTGTGAGAGCTCCTTAGAGCTTCCCAGGTGTAGAGTCCGGGCAACGTGACTTGGCTGGGACTGGATGGAGCAAAGATCACCTTGTCGTCACTGGAACACAATCTACTTACACTTGATAGCCACTAATTTAAAAGTGCTGCTTTAGCCTGCAATGCATGCATTAAATCCCAGCGCTCAGGAGGTAGAGACAGGAGAATAAGGGGTTTTAGAGCCAGCTTCGATTACGTTACATAGTGAGTTTGAAACCAAGGTTGCTTTTTGTTTTGATATGTTGTATCACTGGTACAATGAGAACTCGATGTTGATCATGCTGGCCTCAAACTCTGAAATCCCCACGTCTCTGCCTCCTGTTTGCTGGAATTAAAGTCACGCAGCCCCAAATTCAGCTAAGTGTTGGTGGGTTTTGTTATTGTTACTTGGTTTTGTTGTTGCTGCTGAGGCAGAGTCTTACTAAGTAGCCTTGGCTGGTGTTCTGGCCTGGAGCATGCTTGCTATGTAGCTCAGGCTGGTTTCTAATTCATAGATATTCTCCTGCCTCAGCATCCCAAGTGCTGGAAATACAGGCACATACTACCATGCCCTGGTTGTTTTTCCAGCCCAACAAACCTCTCTGCTAACACAATTCAAATCAGACCAAATCAAACCAAATTAAAAGAAGCCCAGTTTTAATGGATGCCAGCGCTCCCGGAGAGGGGGGACAGAACTGGGAAGACCATGTGTTTGTTCTCTGGGGGGCAGTTTAAATAGCCTGTGGGAGTGGTCTGCAGCCTCTCTGGGCAGGGGTCACCATTTGGCAGGCTTTCTTGGAGGTGGAGTTTGGACTGAGGCAACTCTCAGGGAATGGAGAGGGCTTGAAATGCAATTTTCCACTCAACATTCCAAAATGGATGTCAGGACCTGGGGTGACACTTTCAATCAAACATTCAGACTTTTTTGGGATAAGGATGTTAGGGGCTGAGGTGACACTTCCAACCAAACCAAACACTGCTAACTTTCAGTCTTTGGGGGACAAGATCTTGCCTGGAATTTACACCAGTTGTCTCAGTCTCCTGAGTGCTGGAATTACAGGTATTTGCCACCACACCTGGCAGTAATTCTTTTTTTTTTTCCTGGCAGTAATTCTTAAATATATAAATTTACATTTTCCAATGGACTTGCAATGTTTTGCCTATTTTTAATTTTTTCTATTGCTTTTTGAGGCAGGATCTGTGTAGCATAAATAATACAAGCCCAGAGACAAATATTGGGGTTCAAGCTGAAGATCAGAGAAGCAAAGCAGCCAAGCTACTAGAGGGTTCTTACCTCTACCAAGGCTCAGACAAATGGTCGACCCTGTCCTCAGCATGACTGCAGACTGCATTGCTCTCCACCAAACCTCAGACTGTACTGAGCTCTTGTCTCCTCCTCATATTCCTCTCTGTATTTACTCCTGTCTCCACCTCCCTGCTGCTGACATTAAAGGCACATGACTCCCGAGTGCTGGGAGCACCTTTGTGTGAGTTCTGTCTCTCCTTTTAGACAGATTCCATCTCAAGTAGCTTGAATTCTGAGATTAAAGGAGTGTGCCACCACTCCCTGGCCTTTAGTGGCTTAGCTCTGCACTCTGATCTTCAGACAAGCTTTATTTATTAAAACACAAAATATCACTACCGATCTGTAGCCCAGGCTGGCCTTGATGTTGCCATCTTTCTACCTCGATATTCCCATTGTCTCTATCACAGGTATATGCCTGACATCCAATTTAAATTTTGGAATGGGAGCTGTTTTGTGAATATAATAATATCTAATCCATAGTGTGTCTAAAAATAATGATTTTTGAGAAACCCTGTCTCGAAAAACCAAAAAAAAAAATAATAATGATTTTTAAATATTTTAATTATTGTGCCTCTTTCTAGTGGTCCACTAAATTCCTAGTATAAGACTGAAATCACCTTCTGTTTTCATTCTCTTTATTTTTATCTTGGGCTTGTTTTTCTGGGTTAAAAACTTACTTCTAGTCTTTTTAAAAAATTATTGTCGGCCGGGCGGTGGTGGCGCACGCCTTTAATCCCAGCACTCGGGAGGCAGAGGCAGGCGGATCTCTGTGAGTTCGAGACCAGCCTGGTCTACAAGAGCTAGTTCCAGGACAGGCTCCAAAACCACAGAGAAACCCTGTCTCGAAAAACAAAAAAAAAAAAATTATTGTCTACAGCCATAAGTAGCCTGAGCAAGACTGATCTCATCTGATTTCAGAAACTAAACAGGATCAAGCCTGGTTAGTACTTGGATGGGAGACTACCTGGAAATACTGCATATAGGCTTATTAAAATTAATTAAAAATATATTATTTTTACATGGGATTTGAATTAATTAAATATTTTATTAACTTCTGCCAGCTACTCATATGATTAGCTCTATAAGGTGACTGTGGGCCAACCAAGGGACTCAACACCAGGTTTTTGGGGGTTGCTTTACACTCAACACAGCCTTACATCAGTTTTACCTTGGGGTGACTGAGCCACCAGGGTCTCACTTTTGGCATGTTCTGGGCTTTAACTGTCAATCGCTTGACAGGAAGAAGCTCTTTCAAACTGTGCACTCTTAAGGCAAAAGAGGCCCCAAAGACCTGGCTCCTGTCTGTCTTCAGCTTCTGAGTACTTCCACCATCAGGAAGTGGTATAAGCATTACCCAATAAATGTATGTGATGAGTATACATGATCCCACTAATCTTCAGAATGTCATGCCTGTGGACCAGTTAAATGAAAAAAATTAGTGACAAAACTTATTTCAAAAAGCATCAAATTTGGAAGAAAGTAAATTCTCAGGGTTCTAGGTAGTGTGAGTGGGCCATGTCTTTGGTTTATGCCCTATCTGTTTTGATGTTAACCTGGTTTTTTAATATGAGATTATTTTTACTGTCCAATCTAGAAGGTTCTCGGCCCACAACCTCTTAAAGGATGTCTTTGAGAAAGTTTGCCTGAGGCAACTTTTCCCTTCTCCATGTAGCCTCAGTCTCTCAGCCTCCCATGGTTTCCATTCTTTTAGGCTTCCTGGGTTGGACTTTTAAACTGTCTTACAAATCTCTGGTTTTTTTGTGAGTTCACTAACACACACGCACACACACGTGCGCGCGCACACACTTAAAATAAAACAACACAAAGGATCAAAGTTTAGCAAGGTTGTAAAGAAAGGGGACCCTTAAAAACTAATGGTGGGGATGTAATTTAGTTTTGTCACTAGGAAGAATATTATGTACATTTCTCAAAATATTAAAAATATTTAACTATATATAATCCAGTAGTCCTACTTTAGACTTCAAAGAAAATGAAATCAATGGGTTTAGGAGCTATGTGCACTCCCCTGTTCATTCAGCAGTATCTACAACACCCATTAAGTGAGATCTAAGCAACACAACTCCTCAGTGGGTAGACAGCATAGTCATGTGAACAATGGAATACTACTTGACCAAAAAAAGAATAAAACCTTGTCACTCTTCATAGCATGACTAGAATCCTAATAAACCAGACACAGAGGACAAACATCACATCATCTTATCCATGATATCTAAAGAAACATTGTTCTCATAAAAGTTGAGAACCGAATGACAGTTACCAGAGTTCCAGAGCTTGTAGGAAAGGAGAAACAGGAGAGGTTGGCGTGTGTGCTAAGTCACCACCACACAGAAGCAAGAAGTGTAATCCATGGTAAGTGTAGGCAATGATAATGTACTGTAAGTTTGAAAGAGCAAGAAGACGACTTTGGACAGTTGCTTAGAAAAGAAATAGCCAGTGACAGAGGGATATGCTTTCTACCTGCAGCCCAGAGGCTGATCCCATTGCTGCCTCAGCTGCTGACTGCACCTGCACAGCCACTGCAGCATTCCTGCCAAGGCTGCAGCCTGGGAGAGGCTTCACACCCCACAGCTGCAATCTCAGCCGCTTCTATGTAGGGAGGCAAATGTTGTTTTCACTTAGTGTCTACCTTTTTATTTTACCAATCAAGACTCAAGAGCCAGGTGCTGGGGTGAAAACCTGCTAGCTCAGCGAGGCAAAGAGAGCAGCTGTCTGACCCTCCTCCTCCACCAATATCTCAGAAAGAGGGCTCTCTCATACACCTGCTGGAACAAAATTCCTCCAACCAGATGTCCCTCCCTTCTACTTCCTGTGCTTCTCTCTCTCTCTAACTTCTTCTCACTATCTATGGTTACTTCCAGTCACACCTGGTTGCTCGTACCACCTCTTGACCTTGATTTGTGAGACAGAGGCAGATGGATCTCTGTGAGTTCAAGGCTACCCTGGACTACAAGATTGACGCAGAAAAAAGACAAGGTGGTGATGGCTCACACCTTTAATTCCAGTACTAGGGAGTCACACACTCTTAATCCCAGCACTAGAGTGAAGATAAAATGGGAGGAGAGAGAGGCTTAATCTGCTTAGTCAGCCTTGGTAGAGGTAAAACTTCTCTAGTCCCTTGACTGCTTTCCTTTTCTGGCTTTTTGTTGAACCCCATTATCTGTCTCTGGGTTTATTATTTAGTGCTACAGTTAATTTTATTTAAATAACAGAGTTCTCAGTGTGATCAAATATCTCACAACAAGGGTAGGTACTTTTGAATGGTTTCACATAAGCTCTTGGATCAAAACATCTCATGCTATGTCCTTCATATGTAGAACAGAATAAGG